TCTCGCACTCAGCCCATACTGAAGTCCAGGTTTAGATAAATTGCCATCCTGAAAGAAGCCCCATACAGTAGCACTGTCCAGGATTATACTATGTCACTAGTGTTGGAAAATCTTGGTAAATTCAGAGGAGAATGAAAAACATTCTTAACATCTGTTAATGTAACTTTTAAAAAAAACTTTCTGTTGCTCCATTCATCATGCAATAGATCAAACAATGTAAATGAGGTAACAAAAACTGAAAATTGAGCTACGAGGTTTCCTTAACAGTACGGATGCACCAATACCATTTTTCGTCTTCCAATTCTGCAATAAGCCAAGCCTGTGATATTGATGACAGAGTTGTTTAGGCTGTTGGCTCTTTTAGCCTGTTAGCTTCCTGACTAGATGTTCTAGTTAAGAACATAAGCTGCCAGCACCTCAGTTTAAACAAAAAACAGGTTCTTACTTCATCAATATACTCGGAGGTCCATATGAGCAGCATGAGAATCAAAGATTATTGGGTCATTCTACAGAAACGTCCACTTTTCTATCTATCCATAGGTGTCACTGGTGTTACTGATCCTCATTGGTGTTACACATAAGAAAGGTAACACATGAAAAATGCATTTTACAAAATGGCTGCTACAGAGCATCAAACCACATGTTGTCAGTAATGGAACATCCAATAAAATATGCAATTTAATCCATTTGTATTCTATTTTTTCACAATTACCTAAGAATAAAGAAGGTCACACCAGTGACTTCAACTGAAAGCTTCATATGAAATCATGAGCTAAATGAGAAAACTTCTAATAACTGAAAAGACACAGTGGACTTACCATGTGCTTTTCTTCATAGACCCTCAGAAAACAGATAAAATAAAGTCCAGTGATGTCATCAGTGTGATTTTTATTTCAAAATAAGAGATATTTTGTTATGTGGTAACACCAGTGACACGACTCCTGGGGACAACAACTTTCATTGTAAATTTTATAACATTTATTTGGCATTTGTTTTCTTTTAAATCACATATTTCATAGTCATGTATCGATTATTGCAGTTAAAATTGCAGAAAAACATTTTTTTTTCTTCAAAATATGCCACTCACCCTTTACACATGACTGTGGAGACAAGCACTTTTGAGGTGCTTGGAATTCTAAATAATTGATTTAAAAACCAATATTGCTAAATTGATGCTTAAGAAGGTGTAATTGTTAAAATAATGTATTGTTTTATTTTAAAATAGAAATAAATTGTAACACTAACGTTTTTAAAGTGCAATAGATCTGTAAACGCTAGGGACATGGACATTTCTGTAGAATGACCCTATTCCATTAACAGCTTTTTTTGTACCACGGTGCAGTAATATACAATTCAGTTGCTGTGAGGCGGTCATAGGTGTGCGTATATCGTGGATTTTACAACAGCTTTGAACACGGCTCAGCCAATCAGATTTTAGGACCGGAACTATCCGTTTTATAGTGGTTCATAAAAACTTCATTAGGGCAGGCGATGTTTTTAAAGTTTAAAAACAGGCTGCTTTGGGGTTCAGAACTGGCCTCTATCTCCACACACACTTTCTCTCTCTGCACCTCAACCTGCGCAAGTTTTAATGACTCATCACCAAACAGTTTTAAACAGTTGCAGTCTTAAAATTAGGGGGTGCTGTGATACTGATACAGTGTTGCAACACTACTTAACAGCTGGTTCAAAGTTATGGTTGCACTACAGCAAAGGTGAAGGCAGCTAAACTATTTACATCAGCTCTTCTCTTCTCTTCTGAATAGCTCTGAAACCTTCAATCCTATTATAAGACAAAGCAGGACTCTAATCCTGAGACAGAACGAGCTCCTTACCTTTTATTTACACATGCTGGAAACACCTCCTTCATTTCAAATTCAGATGAGAGTCAGCAGAGAGTGCCCCCACAATAAAGCCTCTCCAGTCAAGGGCGTCCTGGTGGAACCTCGTTTTGTTGTGCTCAATTTTTCGCACTCTTTCAGTACGATCTATCTGGCATACACCCCCTCGGCCGATAAAAGCTAATGAGTTCCCACCATCACCACCGCAATTGCAAAAGAACTTGAGGATTAAATGAAGTTAAATAAAGGGGGCAGATCGCCTCAGTGAAAGCAAACGCAAGACCAATCTCTGCTTCATTAAGTGTCACGGCAGCAAGGCAACATTTTTTTTCCTTCCCAACTTCTTTTAGGCAATTTAATAGGTAGTCACGTTTTAACTCCACAAAGCATAGAGGGTAAAGGGGTGTATTGATTTACTGTAAGAGCTCCCAGGGACAATTTAGAACACAATATTGTTTGGTTAGCTAAATCCTCAAAGGTTGTTAGCAGATACCCACTGTGAGACCACAGTCTTGCATTCTAAATCATTTAAAAAGAGACAAACCACTCAGCTATAAAACTATGAAGTCCCTTGAGACACTTTGCGCTGGAGGGGGTGGACAATTTAGCAGGTTATTACGAAGAACTTCCATGCAAACAAACATGGGCACAAGTGTGTAATCACCCACAGGACCAGCACAACATTACCATGTTCACATGCTTTTTGTATGAAAACCTTTTTCTGTCAAGTAGAAGGAAAAAAAAAACTTTCCTTTAATTAAAAGCAACAAATGTTAAAATGACATTGATCAAGAAGTTATACGACTATTTGAATATAAAAAGGAATTTTGTGAAAACAAGGAATTATTTTGACATATTACGCCAAAAAAAATTGAGAAAATAAGTACTTGTTTTGACTTTGTTTTTAGTTTCAGCTGGGATGAGCTGAAATCATGGAAATTGTAAAATCCCTGTTTAATTTCACAGAGTGTACCCATGTTGTTTGGGAACTGTATGGTTTTGAGCTATGTGCAGTACATCATAGGATGACTGATATTCCTGCGAAAGCGCATTTAGAACCCACAGTGCACATGAACAACAAAGAAACCAGTAGTTGTAGTTGGGACTGCACAGCCAATCAGTTTACACACCCCCATTACTTAACCCTGTTTCCAAAAAAGTTGGGTGCTGAGCAAAACGTTAATAAAAACAAAACGCAATGATGTGCAAATCATTTAAACCCTATATTTAATTGAACATAAAGACAATATAGTAAATGTTCAAACTCAGAATTTTTTTTTTAGAAAAATATATGCCCATTTTGAACTTGCTTGATATATATACGATTTGAGCTGCTCAACAGTTCAGGGTCTCTTTTGTCATATTTTTTGTTTTGTATTCATTATTTGCAATGGGTGACCAGTCTGGACTGCAGCCAGGCCACTTTATCACCTGGACCATTTACTACAGAACCATGGTGTTGTAATACATGCAGAAAGTGGTTTGGCATTGTCTTGCTGAATTAGCAAGGTCTTCTCTGAAATTCAGCATTAATGGTGTGCAAGATGTGCAAGTCACCCATGCCATGTGCACTAATGCACCCCTATACCATCACAGATGCTGGCTTTTGAACTGTGTGCTGATAACAAGCAGGATGATCCCGCTCCTCTTTAGCCCGTTTTCCAAAAAGAATTTCAAATATTTATTTGGCAATCCACAGGACACTTTTCCACTTTGCCTTAGTCCATCTTAAATGAGCTCAGGCCCAGAGAAGGCGGCAGCGTTTCTGGATCCTGTTTATATATGGTTTCTTCTTTGCAAGGTAGAGCTTTAACTTTTAACATTTGTGGATGCAGCAATGAACTGTGTTCACAGACAGTGGTTTTTGGACCTGTTCCTGAGCCTATACAGTGATTTCCACTACAGAATCATGACTCTTATTAATGCAGTGCTGCCTGAGGGCCCGAAGATTATGGCCATCCAATATTGGTTTACGACCTTGTTCTTTGCATAAAGAGATTACTACGAATCTTTTAATGATATTATGTATCACAGATAACAAAATACCTAAGTTATATCCTATTTCACGTTAAAAAAAAAAAAAAGTTATGCCCGTACAGTCTTTCACAGAGTGGTAAACCCTTCCTTGTCTTTACTTCTGAAAGACTCAGCCTCTCTGGGATGCTTTCTTATACCCAAGCATGTTACTGACCTGTTGCCAATCAACCTAATCAATTGAGAAATGTTCCACTAGGTGTTACCAGTCCTTTGTTGCTCCATCCCAAATTTTTAAAAATATGTTGCTGGCATCAAATTCAAAACTGACATATATTTTTCGAAAAACAATAACATTTCTCAAGACATTTGATACGTTGTCTTTGTACTATTTTCAATTAAATATAGGGATTAAATTATTAAATGACAGCGCATTCTGTTTTCGTTCACATTTTGCACAGCGTCCCATCTTTTTTTTTTGGAACAGCATTTTATGTGCTTTTAACAACTGCTCGGAAAAGATTTTTTTTTTCGATTATTTTTTTAATTTGCCCTCAAATGCAAAATATTCTTGAAAAGTTTGAGCATAACATACATAACATTTGCAAATAACTATTTAGCTGGTATATAAAGTTTGGCATGGAGCCGTGGTGTAGAGCCTTTCTTTTTGTTAGCTGCGTGGCCTGCTAACTTGCCAGCTAGCAGAGGAACATGATGAAGTTGTATCAGCAGGCAGGTATAAGAGATGGAGTAGTTTGCAATGTAAAGCCCAGCAAATCAAGTGTTAAAGGTTTTGAAATATTAAGCATTATAAAGGACTGTTATTTCACCTATTTAGCAAATCACAACTTCACAAATCACAATTAGCAGCTGCTATTTCACCGCCTTTACTTTATGTTTTCATAATTCTCGAGAAACATGTTTTGGTCACTATGCAAACCCCTCTGTTGGGCAGCAACAATTCTTTAGGTATTCCATGATTGTGGATTGCAGCTGGACGGCTCCAGCAATCAGCAGCATTTGAGAGCTTGGGAGCTCTCGTCCAGCTGTAATCAAGGTTTCACGTTTAGCATTCTGGCATTTTAATTTCTGCAGATCGACATGAAGCACTGATGCATTTTTAGTTTAGACTACAAATCTAGTGCTATACGCGTCAGAAGATCCAGATAAAAGGGAGACTTAAAGTAAGAAATGCAAACAGAAGTTTTATTATCTGATGAAAGAAAACAACCCACAAAATTCAAAGGAAAAAAGTTCATTCTTTTCCCGGCTGATCAAACAATGATCTGACACCAGAGCCCCTCCCTCGCCTACAGCTCCTCCTGTTACACACACTGCTAGTTAATCCTCAGCAAACATCCACAGCCTAACCCCACAGAGGTGAGAGAATGATCTTGAGCACAATGTGTGCGCACGTAAAACCGCTTCCCTGTCTCGCCAACAGGAACGGCTGAAACAGAACATTCTTCAAAGGGGAAGCGTTGAGAGGAGGCGCCGGTTGTTATCAGCCCTCTTCCCTCTCTGCTTAAGACGACGAGACTCAAGACATTTCAGATCTCCATCACGGAACCTAAATGAGTTAACCAGATAAAAATCAAGCCCTGCCTCGGTTTGGAATAGTGTGCCTGCAGAATGTTGATGATTTTTTTCTTTTGGAAGCGGAAAAAAATTGTTTTTTTTTTTTCCAAATGAGGTTGTTTGAGATATGTTGCTTCAGGAGAAACTAGCAAACTACAGAAAAATGTTTGTGCAGGTCACAGAGAGGGCGGCTTAACAGCAAGCAAAAGAGGAAGGATGACTTGACAACTCTCACCGAGGAATATCTGTTTTTGGGCAAATAAGCTAAGATGCACAAGATGATGTTTACGGAGCATTAGGCCCAGCGCATAACCCGAGTAAACTCAGAGGCAGTGAAGGTTCAGATCAAAGAGAGGGAAGACATTCCCACTCACACTGTTTGGCTGAAGGCCGACATAAAAACATTAAGACGAAAGAGGGAAAAAAAAACATGCTATTCTACTTTCTTGCTGTGATTTAACTGAATAGCCTATAGTCTCAAAAGGAGAACAGAGACAGTAAGAGCACAGTGGACAAAGGGGAAGGTCTCAAAGCACAACCTGTAGATTAAGATGATGCAAACAGGTGAAATGCATGAAGATAGGAGTCAGATTTGAAAAAAAACATGGGAACAGTCAAACAGCCAAAGTGATTATTTCTTGCCTTATTAATTAATATGTGTAACTTTTTGAGGAGAGTTTTTACACGATCAGTTCCAAAGTACAGTATTACACCTGGCCTGAATCCAGGAGTTTAACAATAAATCCTGACTTCAGAAACACAGACTGCACATTCTATTTTCAACACTGACAATACAAATATCTGAGATATACTGACATATGCAGAATACCTCCAGTCAAAGTACGTTTCATTGATTTTCTAAGTGAAAAAATTTTTTCTTTGCACAAGCCACATTTTACATTTTATTTTCTCCAATAAGTTTAATTTAGCAAATAAACAGTAACTGCATAAAAACGTGTAGAACTGTGATCTATAGAGGATGTGTTCTTTTTTTTTTTTTACTTAGAAAACCAACAGAACATGTCATTTGACCAAGGGAGCCCAAACTTCTGCATACGACCGTATCTGTTAGCTGATATTAGCTTCATATCTTGAACACAACACAGATGAAAGAGTGTCCAGCTTATGTAAAAAGGAGGTTGGATGGAGGTCAGATGCTTTAAGTACAGCCTATTCTCTATTAATACAGTAACAGTACACAAATGCAATTGTCCATTATACAAAATCTGTTAGACTCAAAGTAAGTGACTACTCTGAGCATTTTAAAAAAAGAGTCCCGTCTCAAAAACCACAAAATATTGTGAAACTAGTGACTTTCATACTGTTTTTGAATTAATAATTCACTGAAGTCCCCTTATTTATCATAGATGTCCACCTTCAGACATGGTACAGCTCATCTCTGCTAAAACAAAGGCATCTCATGAAGCTCCTAATTAGGCTTGGTAAGGAGCTGCGTGGAGAACTCGTACAGGTCTTTGTTGATTTTCTTCAGGGTCCTCACTTCTTCTTCCAACTCAGATACGCGAACCTTCGTATTCTCTCCATCACCGAACACACTCTGAGTAAGAGACAGAGATAGAATGAGACAAATTCATTGAAGCCCTCTGTCAGTTCCCTTCAGATTACAGACCAATCCCATTTCTTATTTTGACCCCTACCCCTTGTTTTCGAATGTCACTTTGCGCCTTGAAACTGAGTTACAAGGGGTAGTGGTTGAAATCTTCCCCTATAAAATGGGATCTTTAAATAAAAAGAACATTCATTAACAGGCTACTAGCGCTGCTCTGTAGGGGACCCTGCCAGTCTGCAGTGATAGTAGAGGAGGGTAAAGTTCAGCAACCTCACTGCTGGGCTTTAGTTAAATATAGGGCATTATATGCTTTCAAAGAGGGGGGCAATTATTTATTATCGCCCACCCCTAATTCTTCAGTAATATGAAGCTGAAGTCAGCTATTCACCAGCTTCTTGGTTCAATTTTCCCGTTCCACCTTAAATGGAGCAGCAGTTACATTCTTGCGCTTCAGGCGTCAGTACTGGACTATTTAAGGTGGAACGGGTAATTTAGCTAGCTAGCCATCGAGACATTAGATTGTTATTAGCGATTTTTGATGCTTGTTATGAAGAAAAGGAACATAATACATTGAAACGGCATTAAAGTAAGACAACACAATGGTTATTGTAATTTTTAACAGAGAAAATTCTCACATTTGTGGGTTTTTTTTGGTCACTTGTGCAGCCATCTTTCCGTTTTTTGTTTTTTTTTTCCACCTCATAATGCTCTGTTTGGAGTGTGTCTCTGAAAACCCTTCAATTGGAGGTCCTTGTAGCCCTAATACTTTCCCCTACCCCTCTATCTCAACAAAGATCGGGACACCCTACCCTAGACGTGAACGCCCAAAACAGAGGGCTAAGGGCTAAGTGGTAGGGGTGAGAGTTGAAATGGGATTGGGCCTACATCTAATGCTGAGGCTCAGTTCCTCAGTGGAAAGTCCTGAGAGAAATTATGACAAGACCATTACGCACTATTAACTTTTAAAACAGAAGTTTATTTTTCCCTCCATCACTGATCTGCCGAGTGTAAAGGAGCAGATAAAGTGAGTAAAGGTTTATTTTCTTCACCCTGGAATCAGGCCTGGTACATAAAAGGTCACTTACAGTTCAAGGAAAAGTGGGTAAACCAAGCGTTTGCCTTAACTCTGCCAAGGAGCAAATCTCAAATATATTAATGGATGGGTTTTGAGGGACCCACAGACCAATGCATTACAAAATGAGACAGACTTTATTTTTCTATGAGGGTGAAGAACTTGGTCCTCCAATTCAAGCTCTATGACTTCTTGATGAGGTCATCAAATCTCATTTTAAAACATCCCTAATCTAGCGCGGCAGATAGTGACGCTGCTATTGTGGAGAATTTCGCAGTGCAGGCAAACGGTGGATGACAGCGATGCACATTTCCCACAGATTAAGGAAGGGGAGGGGGGAGAAAACCCTCGTGCTCGCCATTAATTTATTTATTTACACATTTCTCCCAAATAAACACAGTGGGCTTTGGGCTCGCCTGCAGGATTCAGCTCCCCTTTTGACTGAGTGCAACTAATCCACTTAACAGCACTTCCAAGTTTTGGATGGAGCGGTTGAGGCATCAGAGCTTTTCTAAGCACAGGAGGAGGGGCGGAGGGGTGCACAGAGAGCCTGTGGTGACCCTGCCGTGCCGTGTGACAAAGTGCTTCAACGAGGCCCAAAGCTCCTCTTGCTCGTACCGGTCAACAGTGAGTGAGGGAGCGAGCCATTCTGATTTCTGTAAGCTGGTCTCTCGAGGAGACAGTTCAAACAGAATTTTTGGTGTGTTTCAAGTTTCATAACAGTGTATTTAATGCAGCTGGATTTTCACCCTCCATTATATCATCCTATAATCCTTGTATAGTCAGCAGGTTGGATTTGAAAAGACATACTTCTCATTGCATATGAATGTCTCATGGGCTTATGTGCATCTTGAAAATGTGCCTTGATGGTACAGTACAAGCATTACACTTAACTGTCCAATGCCTTATTTTTCTGACTGTTTTGTGCTGGCAATAGTGTCACAGCATATATCACTGCTGTCTGAACAAAACCTTGTATCTCCAAAATGAAAACCTTACAGGAGAAGGAAAAAACATACTCTACTTTTAATTGACTTTTCCATTAAAGTCAATGGAACCAGAAGTTTTTCCAAGTCATTTTGGGCTGTTTCTTTTGGTGTATATTTACATACAATGTAAAGGGCAGCAGGCATTTTCAAATAATGTCAAGAACTGAAAAATGGAGAGACAGGGTTTTGTTCCGACAGCAGTGATATATGAAAGTATATACAATAGTCAGAGACCATCCTTTGTTTCATTTAATTTGCAGTCAAAGGGCTCCCAAGTGGCGCAACCGTCTAAGCATTGGCCCTATAATCAGGAGACTGCATGTTCGATCCCTGGTGATGCTACAGTCTGGGAGTTCAAGAGCACAATTGGCCTCGCTCTCTGGGTGGGTAGGATGCCCCCACTTCTCTCCCCATCACCCAAACGTGATGCTAGTCAGCGCAGGTGTCTCTTAGCTGATATAACAGATCTGGCGGTTGGCACTTTCCTCTGAGCATGTTTGGCTTCCCAAAGACGTTGCGTGAGTGGCAGCTCGAAAAGACGTGGTGGCACTTCACAGGTTTCGGGCGAAGGCTGTGTTAGCCTTCGACCACTAGTGGTATCGTGTGACTGGGGGAGCCTCAACAAGTAAACGTAATATCAAAATCTTCAATCTTTAGTGTATAAACCTTTTGCCTTTGTTCTGTTCTGGGAGAGCTGCTTACAGTTGTTCAAAGAAATCTGCAGGGATATTTTCCCACACCTTCAAAGTTCAGTCTTAAAAGTTGGTTGAATTTTTTGCTTCTCACAATCCCACTAATCCCAAATACATTCAGTGATGTTGAGGTCTGGACTCTGGGGTGGTCAGTCCATTGTTCTGAGGACAAAACCATCTTTTTGCTTTTTTCATCTTTTTTTGTCAATTTCCTTTCCTCAGTAACGGCTTCTTGACTGCTACACAGATCTGAAGCAAGAGTGGAGCTTGATTCTTTCCTCTCTCTCAAAGATGAAAGCTTTAAGATGGTGGCAGTTTTGGTGGTCCACCAGGTCTTGCACGGTTGGTAGGAGTCCCATTTTCTCTAGAACTTTTAATCATTTTCTTGAACTTGAGTTTTGGAAACTCCTGTTTTTTTCACTAATTGTCCTTCGACTTCCCCCTTTCATTACATCTTATATCTAATCTCCTCATAAATATCTCATGAAAAATGAATAAACCTGTACTTAAGGTCTTTTTTGATTGGAAATAAAACAATCTCTATCTTGCACGGTACTGTACGTTAAATTTAAGAGCATTTTTTCTTTTCCATTTCGGAGATACAAAGTTTTGAGACACTGATGCCGGTTAGTCACAGATGAATGGGTGCACAATAAACCCTAAATTTGTGCCTGAATCTTGATTAGACTGTAGCTTCAAGTGCCAGCCGTGTTAGAAGAAGCGTGGCTGGTATTTCCCCTCTAGAGTGACTGTGCTGCTTTCAGACGGGGGCGATCCCTACTTCACTGGGACCTGACTATCATTAAATTGGCAGAAAAAAGGAGGGACAATAACAATGTGAAAGCCCTCAATGCGCACTGCAGCTTCCAAATGAGGCTGGCATGGTTACAGCTTTGACCCTCCCACTCACCTTGTCTGTGACAGCACACATAAGAGAATGGAGACGGTCTGCCTTCTCCAGATAGGTCTCCTCTGGGTCCTGCATGCATGCCGAGGAAACATAACATGACAAAAAGGTTAAAACACTTCATTACTAAAGCAGAACAATTCATGTGAATAATGTCTATGAGAGTGTGAAGAATGTGTTTGAGGCTATAGACGTCCTGCAGGCACAAAGCTGTACTGAGCGGGTCAATTATGGAACAGGGTTCAATCATGAACTAGCCCCTCCATACTGACTGCTACTGACAGTGAGCAAGTGAATTGATTACGGCTGCTATAAAGGTTGACAGTGATTATAAAGACTGACAACGCCATTACCAACAAGGTCTTTTTAATAGACCTGTCCAGAGCATATAATCACCCAAGTCTGATTCACAAGGTGTCACCGCAGGTCCAGGTGTATTTACAGCTTCATCCCTTCACTACTGTGTGGGAGTCACTGCTTGTTTAACTGCATGGTCGATAAAGCAGGCACTAATACTCAATGCAGTAAGGCAAAGGTTTCTATCCGTGGTGCGGTCTATGTCAGGGTTTCTCAACCGCTGGACCACGAGTGGTCCGCAAGGCCCTCTGTAGTGATCCATGGGCCCAGACTCACGGGTGGCAGTAGTTCGTAGTGGGCCGGTAACAGCACTGTAAATCATAATAATAATAATATTTAAAAGTGAAAAACCACTTCACTTAATAATAAGATAAAAAAAAAATTGGTAACACTTTACTGTAGGATATGGTTCATAAGGCTACGTGACACCTACATAAGCTTGTCATGACAACTGATACATAAATGTTTAGAAATGCTCATTCCAATAGGTGTCATTTGCTATAAAGGTTGCATTTGCCAATTTTGATCAAAGTTAGCTAAAGTAGCTCTTATGACAGATGATGCCAATTGGAATAAGCATTAATAAACATTTATGTAGATCTATGTCAGTGGTCATGACAAGCTTATGTGGGTGTCATGAACTGTAACCGTACTACCCTACAGTAAAGTGTTACCAAAAAAATCTAATCTTTTTTAAATTATAAACAATGTAAGTAGGAGTAGGCTGATTAAAAGTCATCAGTTTCAGACAACACAGCTGCGGGCCCACGAGTTAATGTCAGCTAGCCAAAGATGGAGAACTTTCTCAGGTGTTTTCATAAATTCCTGGTTCAGTGTGGACTGAACTTTTTCTTTAGTTTGGTCCATGGGTTCACCCTTATGTGGTCCACCAAAAACTGTGTTTCTCAGTCCACTTCCAAATGAACCCGGGTTCAGTTCGCTGCTGGCGGGACTGCATTTTTACAGCGATCCGCACCAAACTCAATGTAACATCATAGCTGCAACATCAGAGTATGCTTTCCTCTTCTTGTTCTAACAGAGCATCAGCACTGTAGCCTACTGTCTGCATGATCTGCCTGTTTTAGCGTCTGACTCTTCACAGACGCTCGTATCATTCAGTGTGAGCTGCTAATAACAGCAGACAAGCAATAAAATAATAGTGAAGATATGTGTTTGATTTTCGCACATGGATCCCTGAATGCATTTTCTGGCCAAGCATCAGTGACCTGATTTGTTAAATTCAGACCGATAAAGCCGTCATAAGGATTTTATTAAAAAAGATTTTATTTCTTGTTGACCACGGTGTTTTCAAGTTAGCAGGTGGGCCTTGAGGTGGAAAAGGTTGAGAACCCCTGGTCTATGTGATACACTGGTTTATACAACCGTTAGTTCTGGCAACGCAAGCTGATTGGTTGAGAGGCGTTCTAACCGTGCTGATATTTCGCCATAACATCACAGGTTTTTCAAAAACACTATCACTCCGCTAAGATGTTGTTGCTAAGCAACGAGTTTGACAGCTGGAGGAGACGCTCAAGCTATTTGAATGTGTTTACTTCTTACTTTGCCACAATCAGAAAATGGATGCTTTTAAGATCACATTTGACCGACAGCCGATTTGGTCAGACCCTGAAGATGAGACTACACTAAATTCCAAACTGTCATCACCACTGAGCAGCTTTTCAGTCAGCAGCTGAGACAGAAGAACAGCTAAACAACCTGGAATTAGCCAGAAATGAACCCAATACCATTCGCCAAACATGTGGTCTGATCTTCAGAATCTGACCAAACCGGACTGAGCCATCAAACTGATGCAATAAAAAGCAAAAAAGCTGCTCAGTGGTGATGACAGTTTCTGAATTTAGTGTAAGGAGCTGGAGAACGAACTGCCGGCTGAGCAGTGAGTGAGCGGAGTTCGTTACTCTGACGTGGCAGCGAGCTGCTTGTTGAGGAACTATAACTTGGCGGAAGGAATTACTAACATTAAAACATATTAAATGCCGCGTTCACGGCCCAATATATTAATTTCTTACTTCATTTATTTAACTGTTGTATAAAAGCAATAGAACACTCGAGGTTGTGTGTTCACAGCATCACAGCTGTGATGTTATTTCGCGATAACACACTGCCTCTCGTGTTCTATTGCTTAAATATGCCACAGACTAATGGTGACGCTATTATTGGGCCCATGGGGGCCTGGGCCCACACATTTTTACCACTGGCCCACCCAAAATAACTGCTCAATATATGACACATTTAACATTCCATCTTTGACACTGACCATTTAAAATCTCACTGTGAGGGGTCTGCTGAGCATTGCTCCCCCTGAGCCACCAAGACTCCCTCAGACACCCAGCTAAAGGTTTCAGTGCTGAATCTATGCACTTCAAGCATTTATGAGAAGTTTATGTTTATGGGTATGAGTTTTTCAAGTCCTGCATGAGCAGTGATACGGTCAGCATTTTAGAGATAAATGTGGGGAGGACGTTACGTTGATTAAAGCATTCAAAGTGTATGAACATGGGTTGTTTTAACCACAGAAGTAGCTCACAATATAGCATCAGAAAAATGCAAACTACAGTCCAAATCAGAACTAGGCACATTCATTAACCAGCTCATTAACACGGACCCATAAATGATGGAACAAACAGCATATTGAAATCATTCATTATTGCTTCAGTGTCCAAGTTTTTTTTTCTATTATGAGCTTAAAGTACTGTGTTCTTGACGATTAGAAAGCCAGTGCAGTTTTTTCCTACTGCACTGTTTGAACAACACTTAAAATCTCAGTTCAGCAGTGTTCACACTATCTTGGCAAATGCGCGCTGCGCACTGCCCTGAAGAGCAGCAAGACCGGACTGCTCCAGCACTCAAGGCAGCAAAAAGCCTTTCAAGGAGTTCAAACACCCTAAACCCACATTTTTAACTGATTATTTTTTGATAAAGGAAACCTGAAATATAGCCTACACGTTTTTTGATATTCTGCAGCAACAGGGTGCCAAAAAAATAGCCTACTATCACTGCACGCTTGAAAGTCAATGCCATGTGAAACTTATAACAATACATTTTAACTTTTGCTGTAATAGTGTGGACACTGCTTTACAGGTATACCCTGTCTATATCACACGGCCCGCAGTAGTGAAATTCAAATTCAGCCCACAAGCAAATTTGTCATGCCCACCCAAAACGGCAACCCTGCTGACACTAATGTCATGGACCAACTAGGAAAATGCTAAAATGTGCTTTTCCTCATTTAAAATCAGAAATGTGGGAAGTGCTGACTGATTTTAGGACTGCAACTGTTGAAAATAATAATAATAATAATAAATGTTCTGAACTTTATAGTAATTTTTATAGTGATCATTTTAGAGTGGAGTTTGTATTCATTCATTAATTCATTCATTCATCTTTAACCGCTTAATCCAGATGGGTCACTGTTGTAGAAATTGTTAACCTGTATTTACATATTTTCAAAATCTGCAGTAGACCTGCTCAGCTTAGGAGAACGCCGCATTTTCATTATAGTGAGCCGAAACTCTTGGCCGCAACACATGCGTAATGTTTTTTGTAACTTAAAAAATAATGTTAAAAAAATAATCATCTATCGTAATAATAAATTTTGTATCAACCGTTTTATCTCCCGCTCTGTGTGTGTTTCAGTGTTAAACCTCACTGTGTGACTGTGGGCATGACACAATAGATTATAACAAACAAACTGATTGGTCACAGCTCAGCTCATAGAGTTTGTCCAGAAAAAGAGAGCAGAGAGATGTGTGTCAGCGATTTGATGTCAGTTTTATGTTGTATTGTCATCGCTCACCTCATTATATACTGTATGACACTTTTTGTTTGATGTAAATTAGCTAATAATAATAAATAATCAAATTAAATGAGGCAAATCATTCTGCATAACATCATCGGTCGCGTCACATACCTCTTACTGACCAGGGTATATTTTGGTTTTTCCATCTGAATTCACATGACCAAATCGTAAGGCAAATTATTCAGTAACTGCATGAAATGAATGTTAATTTTTATTTTATTTATTTATTTATTGTAAAAGTTCCCCTTAAATTAACAGAACATGTTTTATGATCATACACATATTGTTACATGCTTACAATTTACTGCTGAAAGCCAAAAATCTTAGATGCTCTTTGTATTATTTTAATAAAAATAATTTTTACACAGTATATCGCTGAACAGATTTGGAATCCAGTTTATAGCTCAGATTTGTGGAAAATGGACTTTCAGTAGACAAAAAAAATTGTGAGTTCAGCTTCTTTTATTATAAGGGTTTAAAATTACATTACCCATCTATATGACTGGAAAGAAGACAGTTACCCACCTTTTGAATGTAGCTTATGAAATATGAAAGTTATGACGAATATGACGAAGTGCGTTTTGGAACCACCGGTGGTCTGGTGAGTTAAAAAGGTTAAAATTTCAGCACCCCCAATTTAAAACACCTTCCCGCGTCCCTGCTTAACATGCACAATGGTATGTAAGAAATGCATGTGAGTTTCTATGTATGTATGTATGTATATATGTATATATGTATGTATGTGAAACTGTAAAGCAAGAAATGAACGAATTATGCTACAACCCAATTCTGAACAATCATGGAAATGAAACCCTCTCGTCAAACTAACTGAAAACAAAACCTTAATCATAGCTTACGGGTTTTTATGAAGTTAGCTAGATGTAGTAAGTATTTTACGCATTTCAGCTCATCACTGTACACCCATTGCTACACAGGACTACACCACTGGTTTCTACACACACATATGGTTACAAGAGAGCACACTGAACACCGCAGCAGGCACTACAGGCTCATTAACAGCTTGTTCAACTCATTACAAAAATGTCCTGTTTCATTAGCCACCCTGACGATGGGATGTTTATCTGGACAGTCTAGGGAAGAGAATCCGGCATGCAAATAAACAACTGCAGGGTGCAGATGCTGAAAGAGAAACTTGCAGTCTCACAGTTCCACTTCGCTTATTACCTTGTTGGGAAGATCACAATCAATCCCATCACCCCAGCAAGGTAATGACTTTATCTATACGCAGAGTTATCTACCTGGATTTCTAATTGGTCCCAACTTTGTCTCTGACCCAGGAGAACCTGCTCAATTAGCACAGAGACCCAGAGCTAGTGACCGGGTATGAGGAGCGTGTCTGGAGCTGGCATGGTTAGGAGGACCCCTCTACACTTTCCCCCGACCCCCATTTGGACACACATAGCCAGGCTGGTAATGGAGTTTTCCCCCCGATCGAGATGATGGTTCATTTGAGGCTGAGTGTTGAGGTGCAGCGACAGCTGGCTGCACTGCCGGCGAAGCATGCGGCTCACCCAAACCAAATAATGGAAACTATTCTGGAGGAGAAATTAATTAGGATTTTCAGAGTGACTCGCATTTGCACGCTGCGTGTAGGCCCCTGATGAGTGAGCGCGTGTCGTGTGATGTTTGGCACAGCCCCGGGTCGTGGTGGGAATATTGTTTTTTCCGCACCAGCATTAGTATTAATTCACTTATCTAATCATTTGTTTTAGGCTCTCTCTCAGCAAGCAAAGGTGAAAAAGCTCATTTTAGGAGAGATGACTGCATATTCCCAGGGACTGAGAGATTAGCCTTAAAGTAAATTTGAGAGAGAGAGAGAGAGAGAGAGAGAGAGAGAGAGAGAGAGAGAGAGAGAGAGAGAGAGCGCGAGAGTGAGAGCGAGAGAGAGAGAGAGAGAGAGAGAGAGAGAGAGAGAGCAAAAGAGAGAGTAAAGGCACTGAGCTGAAGAAAGCACAGGAGGGACAGAAATGGAAGGCAGTGTAAACAGTGCGAGTGCAATGGCTGGAAGAGTTAAAGGGGAAGTAAAAGAGTGCAAACACAGCAGGTGGTGGGCAATTTCAACACCCTGAAGAACCACTTTATTTATGGGCCTATAATTGATTTTGACATAGGAGGGATTACCGATGAGCTACAAACAGCTGTTCTTTAACAATCCTGTAATGTTTATCATACTCCAATGTCCTGCTGGAGGTGAAAATGCCCATATGTGCCATATACATTATAGTCAAACTCCTACACCCTCTCTTAAATAGGCAAACATAGACAAACAATACACTCATAATGATTACGGTCCAAGTTATATTGTTCAAAACTGTCCCAGAAATGACTTTGGCTTGCAAGCTACATATGATCTCTGTAAGCCTTAAGGGTGAGTTGTAAGGAAACTAATTCTGTCAGTAGGCTGATACTGTGAAACAGTGTTCATTTATTTGGAAACCAACTACATATTGCCAAACCAGCGTTTTATTTATCTATATTTGATCAATATTAATTATTGGCCCAAGGCCAGTTGTGATAATATTAAAGTATTTGTTGATCATCTGCCATTTAACGCTGTGCATTACAGTGATGTTATCATACTTCACACCACGCCTAACAGCACATTTTTACAGTGAAAATCACTGTAATGTACCAGTGTTTTACTGCTTTATTAAAGCACTTAGTTAATAGATTACAGTAAGACTATCCCTTTATAAACGGTTTAAAATTTGCTTATTAACAGTTACTAATTAGGTCACAAACACCTTTTGTTTGGCAAATCTTACTTTGGCTTCTCCATCAGTCAGCATTAAACTTGTCTGCTTCATCAGATATTCATATTCATCAGTTACAACATGTCACTGTTGCCCTTCATAGTTATAACTGCTTATTAATGATATTAAGGTCTTAATGGCCTAATTTTATTAATTTTTATCAATAAACGGATTTAAACTGATAGCTAGACAGACAGACAGATATGGACACTATGTAAGAGTCCTCTTAATGTAAAGTAGTCCCATTATTATTATTAGTAGTATCCAGAAGTATTTTAGCAACAAACAGCACACTGTCTATTTCCTTTACCTGGCAGTTGTTGCCCAGTCTCAGACACGCTCCTCCTGTTCCGGTTCCCTCGCCCTGCTCAGAAGGGTTGAGGTGGCGGCTGAAGCGTGGCAGCGGCACAGCAGGCCGGCTGTCCGGGAGGAACATGTTGCCAGGAGCTGGAATGATGACAGCGTTGGTGACCTGACCTGTGGGTAACAAAACATGACACATCTTCATATCAGATGGACTCCTGCAGACCCTCAATTAATTTAAGTGCCAGGCAGGATTCCCATGTTTCATGCTTTCTCCTGTCTATAAATGCTGGCTCAGAGTGATGGATTTGTTCTGGGCACTGGCTTTACAAGAGGCTATGACTGGAGTCACTGATGCAGTGTGGAACTAGACCCAGTGAGGTCTGCACTCTTTCAGTTCAAACCATGAAGACTGGACTGCTGCTTCTATTCTGCTGCATAAATGAAGAAAAAGAAGCCCAGGCATACAAGGACAAGAAACACCCTGAGAGTTTTGCCTGAAAACAGAGCCAAACAACATTCCTCCCCCTTTTTTGTGTTTCATCAGAGATCACGCTGTCAAAAGAGGTTTAAAGCGAAAACACAGAACTGGATTTTTGTTTTTCTTCCCCATAAATAAATACCCTAGACGTGGACAAACGTTCCAGAAGGATAAGGTTAAGTGAAGAGTAAAACCATGGAGAGATGTAGATGTTCAGGTGTGACCCCTTACATCTCACTGTAAGGAGGATAAATCAGGAAAGAACATTACTGCAAAGCGATGCCCTTCAAATTTTATGACTGAAACACTTACACATGCTTTTCAACTGCTGAACTCAAAGTCAGGCTTCCTTTTTATTTGTCCATTACTGCCAGTCCTACATATATAAGCCACATATCATCTAAACTGCCCATCTGTCCAGAAACATCTTTCTCTGATGCTGGCTGCAGGAAAAAGTCTCTTTGTCCCCTTCAGAAAGCCAACACAATGTATCCTGCTCTCTCAGCATCAAGCGTTCTGAGGAGATTAATGAACAAAATCTAAATTCCATTGAGATTCTGGCACAGGCGGTTTCTTTAAAGGATCCCATGGGGAAGTTGTCTCATTTCAAAGACGGCATCAAGAACGATTCTCTGCACGCCTCAAAGCAGATCTAATAAAACAGCAACCATGACCTGCCAAAGACTCGAATGCTGCACCTTCAACAACTTCCTTACAGTCAAACAGCGGTAATTATCTCTGCACCAGGCAGTAACTGAGAGACGTCCTCATGTGAACCCTGGGACATCAAGTCTGTGAGGCCTTGTTAAAATGGTAACACCAGGTACATCAGGGTGAATAAATAGTTTTGGTGTTGGTTTCACTGATGACCCAGCAGTGTGATGACCATTTGGTTTGTCTGCATTACACTATACATCATACAATCCTTCTGACCACACAGTTTATTTAGCTGCAAAGTGTTCTATCCATATTCTTGTATCAGGGTTTTAATCATACTTGTATTATTCCACTGACCACCGGTAGCTAAGTAACAATGGCTGCTTTAAGTCTAATCTACTGCTAAACATAAACCATAGTTCAGCAAATTAAAAAACGAATGTATTAGCAAAGATGACAGATTTGCAGCCTGGCCATTGGTCAGATTCGGAAGCTGTGAGGCTAACATTGCTAACAAACACTAGAACTCAATAGTCACCCAAATAGCCCAAATAATTTCTGTAAAAAAAACATCCCCAAAGCTTCTCTGAACCCACTCAAACCATATTCAGGTCTTCATTCAGGTTGGGCAGACTTATCAATGTGGTTTAGGACACAGTATGACTTATTGTGAACTACAAAAACATACAAAACTCCACTATGTAGCTAAAAGCTATGGGCAGCTAGTTTAGACAACAGGGTCTATATACAGAGTGCTGATCTAGAATCAGTATTGAATCAGCTGGATTTTTGGGGATGTATTATTACAGAGACTATTTGAACTATTTGGGTGACTACTGAGTTTTGGTATTTGTTAGCAACATTAGCCTTGTAGCTCCAGGTCTAAAGTTAAGGAAAACTTAGTCTCGAGGCATGTCCTGGCTGATCGACTACATCTGGGCTAAGTGGAAAAGTGGGTAGATTTGGTTTTTCGCCTGACTATTCCTGTAAAGGAAATCGGCACCTAAAATGTTTGGCTAGCATGTATTTTAGGTATGAAGCATGCTAGTTAGCATAATGGCTAATTTAGCTGAAGTGGTCCACTAAGCTAGCCAAAGTTTTAGCAAGTTACAGACCATAGTCCTTTAAAGTTTCACTAAACCTTCAGCTGCATTAGCATTTACACTAACTACTTACATGCTAGTATAACGCATTTTGTATGGCAGAAGAAATTACTAAACATATTTAAAGAAATGTTGAGGTTTCTTTTTTCACTGCAAAACTGTAACATTAAAGCAATAAAACACATTCGGCTCATGTCCATAACCGAGTAAATACACTTGTATTAAATCAGTCAATAATCTGGAACAACAGTGAACACAATGAAACCTCTATTCAACAAACACAAACAGAACTAAGATTTAGCTGAACTCATGTCATCATTGACACAGGCCTCTGATCTGCAAAAGGATGAATGAATGAAGTAATAGGGAAATTACACTCAAACAATTAGTTTTGACTTGCGCATTGTGTTGGAGTTGGGCGGGAAAAAAGAAGTCTGTCCATCACAATAACAGACTAGTTTTTAAGGCTGACATCAAAAAGCTAAAATGGACCACATGGGAAGCATCTACAGTCATTAACGCTCCAGCCATACATCTGTGTGTGTGTTTTGGTTTTTATTTTTTTAAGTAGAGGGGCAACATTCAAAAAAAATAACAAACCACAACCCATAAAGATTCCTGTGTCAGTGCCCAAGCGGTCTAATTAGAAAAAAGCACAAACAGCGGCACTCAAAGCGCGTCAAATATGGAGATCTAGTCGAGGCAGCCACTTTAAATCTAATCTTTTGAAGCCAGATAAAAAACCCAGGCCACATGCCTCCAGATACGACTTCTTGGGCTGTTGTGTACTTCTGACATTCTTTATTTAGGATTTAGGCCAAAAAGTACAACGCAAGACAAATTCCACAAAGAGAGACTGCCGGTTCCGAGCTATTCTAACAAGCTAGGATTAAACCCTAATACAAATACAGAATGCCTTTTTGTTAAATATATGCTCTGAGTATTTTGGTATGGATCAATTCTTGTTTGGGGGTTTCAAGTCAATGAAGATAAATAGGTAGCCAATAATGCACTAGAGGAAATTTGGAAGGCAGCCTCTGAATAATCTCTATTGTATAGTTTTGGCGAGAAAAACATTCCTTCAGAAACATTATGCTGTTTTCCAGACCTACTGTTTTCCATTCTGCTCATGCTGCTTCATTTCTTCCGACAACGTACAGTGACCCACTGCTGTGACAAGTCAGGATATAAACTATAATATTCCAAATTCTTGACTGTAATAAGAGTGGAGTATATGAAACTGAGGGTCGTTTACAGAACATTAACAGAAAAAGAATAGAGTCATTATTGCCACATGACCAAAATTATGGTGGAAACTATGGTTGATACAGCTTTGTTATAACAACAATATTGTGCCAACACGCACTACACTATATGGACAAAAGTATTGGGACACCTACACATTACACCCATAGAAGCTTTTATGACATCCCATTCTAAATTCACAGGCACTAATACTGAGTTCGTCCCCCTTTGCAGCTCTAACAGCTTCCACTCTTCTGGGAAGCTTTCTAAAAGATTTTGGAGTTTGCTTGTGGGAATTTTTGCCCATTTATCCAGAAGAGCCTTTCTGAGGTCAGACACACTGATGTTGGACGAGAGGGCCTGGCTCGCAATCTCCATTCTAGTTTATCCTAAAGGTGTTCCACTGGATTGAGGTCAGGGCTCTGTGCGGGCCAGTCAAGTTCTTCCACGTTAAACTCACCCAGCCAGGCCTTTATGGACCTTGCATTGTGCACTGGGACGCAGTCATGCTGGAACAGAAAAGGTTCTTCCTCAAACTGTTCCGACAAACTGGAAGCATAGAATTGTCCAAAATGTCTTGGTCTGCTGAAGCACTGAGATTTACCCTTCACTGGAACTAAGGGGCCTATAGACCAACCCCTGAAAAACAACCCCATATCATTATCCCTCCTCCACCAAACTTTACAGCTGGCTCAATGCAGTCAGGCAGGTAACGTTCTCCTGGCATTCGCCAAACCCAGACTCATCTATCAGCCTGCAAGATGGAGGAGCATGATTCATCACTCCACAGAATGCGACTCCACTCCTCCAGAGTACAGTGGCGATGTGCTTTACACCACGTTTAAAGTCACTGAGCTCATCAGTATGACCCATTCTTCTGCCAGTATTTGTCTATTGAGACTGCAAGCCTATGCACTTAATTTTATCCACCTGTTAGCAATGACTGTGGCAGAAACACCTGAACTCAATAATTAGGAGGGGTGTCCCAGTACTTTTGTCCATATAGTGTATTACCCAACATAGCAATACAAGACCTGATTTTTGTACCCAGTGATACTGAGGCCTCACGGACTTATCAGTATCTGTGAAATTCCAGCCAATAGAACACCGATAACTGGTGGCTTGTCATATCGTAACAAGCCATGGCCGTAAAGAAACAATCAGAAAAACGCTCTCTTTTGAGCTTCTTGCTCACCTGCAAGTCTATAGAGAGAGTACTACAGTGACTAGTCTATGCTTTACACTCCAACTGACGCTTAGCATTGCACATAGTGATCTTAGGCTTGTGTGCAGCTGCTCAGCCATGGAAACCCATTTCATGACGCTCCCGACACAGTTCTTGTGCTTATAGATGCAGTTTGGAACTCTGTAGTGAGTGGTGCAACAGAGGATAGGCGATTTCTACACGCTTTAGCACTCGGCACCCCTGCTCTGTGAGTTTGCGTGGTCTGAGTTTGTGGCTGAGCTGCTCCTAGATGCTTCCATTTCACATGATGGCACTTACGGTTGACTGGGGCAGATCTAGCAGGGCAGAAATTTCACAAACTGAATTGTGGTTAAGGTGGCATCTTATGACAGAATCAATGAGCTCTTCAGAATGGCCCATTCTATTGCCAGTGTTTGTCCATGGAGACTGCAAAGCTGTGTGCTTGATTTTATACATCTGTTAGCAATGGCTGGGGTCCAAA